ATATCAAATTTCAAGAAATTTCATCAATCCGCTCCGTAGATAAGATAAAAATATTTCGTTCCAAAAAATTTATATGTTGATTCTTTCTCTTTATATGGGCAAAAATCTAAAACTGGCCCGCAAAAAAGTCCAGTTCCCAGTGCCTGATACATCCCAAAGTTGATCAATCCGTGACACAGCCAAAACAAACTCACATATAAATTTTCATCAAAATCGGTTCAGCCGAACTTGAGATACACGCGTGCACACACTGCAGGCCGACAGACTGACAGTTTCCTAAAAATAGTTTATTTACACTTCCCTACCATGTAGAAGTACTTTCCCATCGAAAGCTCGATATGCAAAATTTGTTGCCATCGCATAACCTACCTTATTATATAAAATGCAGTCGGTAAAAATACTTCTACGCTTTTAGATTTTGCAATACGTTTGCTAAAAAAATCCTTTTGTTTTTAGTATTTTTATATCCGTACGAACGTATGTTCGAAAGGTATACTAAATTTGCCTTACCGTTTGTAACGCTAAGAAATAATGCCCGGAGATATAGATTCAAGTGTATGCTTTTGATCAGCGTCGAATTCTGAGTTGATTTAGCTTTGTCTGTACGTCTGTCCGTCCGTCCGTCCCAGCGATAACTGAAAAACTAATTGAGCGAAGTTCACCAAATTTTCACAAATGATTTATTGTATTAAGTGCCAGAACCCTTTTTTAATTTGACATGATCGGGGTACTATTTCGGTTAGCTGCCATACAACTTCAAAATGTATTGGGTTATATCTCAGAAACTATAAAGCTGGGTATTGAAATTTTACGCAAACGAATGTATTAGTAGGGCCAATGTGCCTGATAAAAGTCGTTGAAATTGCTTGGCTCCTTCTGGTAGGTACCTACCCTACTTCATAGCAAAGTAACTTCAAAAGTTACTTTGCTATATCTAAAAAAACTATAAAAGCTGAAATATTGAAATTTCACACAAGAAAATATATTAGCAAATAGTAAAATTGTTTGGCTCTTTCTGGTAGCTGCCATAGAACTTCAATAGTAGTCTGTATACACAAAGGATTTTGAAAAACACAGTACTGAAATTTTGAATATATTAACATGGTAATACGGCATCTTGAAGTCATAGTCTGTCCCATAGTCATATTGGATATTTATTCGCACACAGGATAACAAATTCGTACGGGTATCACAGAGTTGACAAGGTCAACTCTATTTTTTCTCGTTTTTATTAAAAGAATATTTAATAAAAAAAATAGTAATTTTTCTGGAAACTCATTTTGAAATATATTAAAAAAATCAATACGAAAAAGCAAATCCTTTCACATTTCAAATACATTATAGTTTTTATGCCTTACAATTTTGTACAAATTTCATGAAACTCAATGTGCCAATACTGTTTTATATATATTTAAATGCACGTATTTCTGTACCTATAATTAAAGAGATAAGAAGTATTAAATATCTTTGCATTATTAGAGAATTATATTACAAGATCCAAAACATAAATAACAATAAGTAAACTAAAACACATTGGAATGTTTGCAAAGTTTTGAAAATAATCAGGCTTTACTTTTATTTTGCAATTAAACGTATACTTAGGTACAAAAAACAAAACGTAAATGAATTCGAAAATAATTTTACCATAAAGGAATGAATAATTCATAATAACAACTCTGGAAAGGTATGTATGTAGTGCCATAAACATTATATATGAAAAAAAGAACACATAGCAGATACTAAGAGCTTTCTGTGTTGTTTGCCAAGCAGAAATACACATATGTATATACTTACAAATTTAGGTGTCATATTGTGTATACGATATTGAGAAACACATGATTAATCAACTACATCCAACACCAGCTTAAAAACCATTAGGATGCTCTTAAATTACAGAAATTAAAATTACATGATGACAATAAAATATTGACGATTAGAAGAAATTAAATTTCAATTTAGTTTCAACTGATCGAATTCTCCGTAAACCAACGGCATAATATAAATCACAATGCACTTGCACAATCTACTTAATATATTTCTATGGCCATTATGCTTTTTACTTATTCAATCATTATATCCGTACGAGCGTATCTTCGAAGGGTATACTAAGTTTGCCACAACGCTGAGATATAGACTCAAGCATAACGTTTTTGATGAGCGTTGAATTCTGAGTCGATTTAGCTTTGTCCGTTCCTCTGTCCGTCCGTTCCCAAATTTTCACCTATGATTTATTCTAGTAAATGCTAGAACCCTATTTAAATTGGACACGATCCAGGTACTGGTTCGGGTAACTGTCATACAACTTCAACATTTATTTGACTATATCCCAGAAATTATAGAAGATGTATTATTAAATTTTCACAAGCAGAAATTGAAATATCGTACAAGCGAATATATTATTAGAGTCAATGTCTTCTTCTTCTTTCTTCTTCATGACCTTTTCCCTTATTTGGGGTCGGCCCTCCTTGATCTGAGGCGCCAAGAACTCCTGTCTTGGGTTGCCTCCGCGTTCAATCCTGCTTTACTCATATCTTTGTTGATTGTGCCAAGCCATGTTGATGGTGGCCTACCTGGTCCTCCCTTAGGTATTGATAAGTTAAGTGCTTTTCTAACAGGGTGCTCCTCGTCTCTACGCATGACGTGACCATACCATCTCAGTCGTTTTTCGGCTAATTTTTCTTTAATGTCGGCTACCTTAAATGTGCCTCTGAGATACTCATTTCTTATTTTATCTAATTTCGTCACGCCTGCGGACCACCTTAACATTCGTATTTCGGCGACATGTAATTTTTGTTCGTGTTTCTTATTTGCCGCCCAACACTCTGTTCCATACATAAGAGCCGGTCTAACTGCCGTCTTATAAATTTTTCCTTTTAATTTGACTGGAAACTTTTTGTCGCATAAGACTCCTGTTAGCGACCTCCACTTTAGCCAGCCAGCATTTACACGACTTGTGACGTCATCATCGATTTTGCCTTTAGATGTTATTGTTGAACCAAGATATTTGAAAGCATTCGTTATCGGTATTGGTACACTTTTTATTTTAATTGTATTCGTCGGGCCTATAAAAGATTCGTTCGAGAATGACAAGTGCATATATTCTGTTTTCGTTCGACTTATTTTTAGACCATTCTTTTCCAGCGCGTCAGCCCACTGCTCGACTTTGGTTTGCAGCCCTTCCAGAGATTCGGCAATAATTGCAATATCGTCGGCATATATTATTGTCCATGGTAACGGGTCCTGGATATTTCTGGCAAGATAATCCAAAGCGGTGATAAAAAGAAGTGGACTTAAAGCTGATCCTTGGTGGACGCCAACACCCACCCCGAATTTTTCCGACAAGCCGCTCCCGCTCTTCACCTGCGTTGTTGTGTTTGCATACGTGTCCTTGATTATCTCAATGTAATGTTCAGGAACCCTATGATAACGAAGGGCTTGCCATATAATTTCTCTGGGTAATCTGTCGAAGGCTTTCTCCAAGTCCATAAATGCAACATGTAGATCTTCTTTTCTCGATTTAAATTTTTCTATGACAATTCTCATCGTTTGTATTGCGTCAGTAGTTGAACTATTTTTTACAAAACCAAATTGATTGCTGCTAATCTTTATAATTGATCTCAATCTGCTCTCAACAACTCTTTCCCAGATTTTTAAAGTATGCGATGTCAACTTTATGCCTCTGTAATTTTCACACTGTTGCACGTTGCCCTTGTTTTTATATAAAGGCACAAGGAAACTATTTCTCCAATCAGCTGGTATTTTGTCGCCTTTTATTAATTTGCTGAAGATGTGCTGAAGTAATACTTTCCCCTGAGAGCTCATTCTTTTCCAAAGATCAGATGGAATATTGTCCGAACCTACCGCCTTATTATTTTTCATACTTTTGAGGGCCATTTCTATTTCCTCGGTAGCTACCATATTTAACGGTCCGTATGTAGCTGGTAAATTTTCGGGAGTATCATGTTCAAATTCCTCGTTCATCAATTCACTATAGTACTCTTTCCATCTTTTATTAGCATCTTCGTTGGTTGTCAGTAGCTCTTGAGTTTTACTACAAATGAACCTGGTTGATATTGGATCTTTTGTTGCAGAATCTCTGCTTTTGGCGATTTTATAAATTTGGTTCTGCCCTTCAGGTGTTTCCAGAATTTTCATAGAACTTTTGATACGCATTGTTTTTAGCAATGGCAACGGTCCTTTTCGCAATTTTACAAGTTTGTTTGTAGATAGCATGATTTTCATATGTTGGCCCTTTTTTCCAATGTTTAAAAGCGATTTTCTTTTGTTTAAGCACCTCTTGAACATCGCCGCTCCATCACCAAGTTTCTTTCTTGCCATAAGATTTGCCTTTTGTAGTACCAAGATATTCCCTTGCCAAACTGTTTACCTTATTATGAAATTCTTTCCAGCCATCGTCTAATATAAATTGTGCTGCATTGACTAGACTCTCGCAATTTCGGTTAACTTGTTGAATAAATGCATTTCCCTCATCTTTATATATATTGTTCCACTTTGTTTTCTTCGAGTGATAGTTTACATTTCTTAAGTTCGACGAGTCCACCTCGAAAGTCGCTAGCAAGAGTCTGTGTTGACTAGTAAGAGATTCACCTGGTATGATTTTACAATCCAGAAACCGACGCGCATTTGAAGTTTTACACATAATATAATCTATTTGCGTGCATGAGCCCCCACTACTATACGATATGAGATGCTCATCTTTTTTCTGGAAACAACTATTTATTATTTTCGAATCATATGCGCTGGCTATGTCAAGGATCCATTCACCCTGCTCATTAATTTGTCCGTAGCCAAAACCTCCGTGGCAAGGGCTATTAGTACCATTTGTTCTACCTATATGACCATTTAGATCACCACACAAAATAATAGCCTCATTTAATGACATCGCCTGCATTGTTTCTTCTAAAGATTCAAAAAATAGTAGCTTTGTTTGACTGTCGCATCCCGTTTGAGGAGCATATGCACTCATAATATTATATATCTTATTTTCTATGACCATTTTGACGTACATGATCAATAATCTTATCACACATGTTTTCGTTGAGTACTATTCCAATACCATTTTTTGCGTTGAAACCGTTGTACAATACTGTATAACCTTCACCAATTTTTCGTGCTTTTGCACCTTTCCATTTCAACTCCTGAATACAGCATATATCTATATTTCTTCTTTTTAGTATCTCAGCAAGTTCCTTGCTTCGTCCTGTAAGACTGCCAATGTTCCATATTCTGATTCTGATTTTGATTTTTGCTTTTACTTTCTTAATGCTTGGATTGTTTACTTTTCTTGGTTCGTCGCTTATGGGGAACGCCCTAGTGTAATCTTTCCTTCTGTTTGACCTCATTTTCATCATGGAGTTTGTGTTTTTTCGGCTAAAAATTTTTACGGCCGGTTGCCACCTGACGCCAAGGTAGTAACTTCAAAAGCTGTGGAATAACGCTGCCGCCACCAACGTCACTTCCTATTACAAGATCCTACCTGACCTTGTAACCCTTGATGAACCTTTAAATCACCCATGTTGAAGTAGCTTCATCAAAGCGATCTCCCATTCTCCCGTTGGTTACCCGATCTTTTGTAAGAGTTACTCAGCTTAGCAGGTTGCGCCACGTGAAGGCTGAGAATTGGAATTGAGTAGCAAGAAGCTTGGAGAGTTATCTGGATACCACCCTCTGTGTTACGCTGTGCTACCCCCTTTGCAACCCTATTAGAGTCAATGTGTTTGATAAAAATTGTTGAAATTTCTGATCTCATGCAACATATGTTGTATGATTCAGGTATGTCGGAAGGAAATAGACTTATAATATTTTGTATTAAACAAATGACTGACGCCTTAGAGTCAGCTGATATTTGGATAGCAGACGGGACTTTTGACATAGTATGTTGACCGTTTTACCAGTTGTATGTGCTGCACTTTGTGAAGCATGCTGCAGCACATGCTGCAATTTTTGCACTCCTATCTGGTAAAACTGAAAAAATTTACTGTAATACAATAGAAATTATAAAAAAAAAATTAAATTTAAGCAATCGAAGACGTACTATATTAATAGATTTCGAGAGCGCGGCAATTAGATCATTTCAAAAATTTTTCCCAGAAAGCCTAACACTGGGTTGCTTTTTCCATTTCAAACAGGCAAATATAAGGTGTCTTCAAAAATTAGGTTTGAAGACAAAATATGAAAAAGACCCCGAATTTTGCAAGAACTTTAAAATGTTCTTTGCATTATCAATGTTGCCTCTAAATGACGTCGAAAAGGGATATGAGGCAGTTTCTCAACTGTTTGCAGGGCAATTTGCCTGCAAAAGGTACGTAGAGTATTTCCGCCGGACTTATATGTTTAATGGTCTTTTTCCTCCAAGTTTTTGGAATCACAGGCAATCAATATTGCAAGAAATTCCAAAGACTACAAATTTCATTGAAGGATGGCATAATGGATTAACATACTCGTTTGGTTTGCGAAAGCTGCCTATTTTCCAATTTCTAGTGACCCTGCACAAAGAAATGGAGTATCAGCAAACAAAATTCAATAATTCATTACCACCTTCAAATAATAAGTACTCTATCTTAGCAAAGAAGCTAAGAAAATTGATCGAAATATATGATCCTGAAACTTCCAATACAACGCGTTTTCTTAAAGCTGTCTCCTACGTTGTCTAATTCATCCCTTTTCACAAAATTTCCATTGCCTGTAATTCGCTTAATTCCCATTTTCAGTTCAGCCTAGTAAACGGACTGGTGATCCCGAAATTTATTAATATAGTCCAACATATACAATTATTTATATGTATAAGTATATAGAACATATAATAACGTTTTACTAAATTATATATGTATAAATTATCAATTAATTTTTGTTTATATAAATCTAATTTGCCTATTAATATGTAATTGTAAATTAGTTAGGTATGTACGTACTCATATGTTTGTAGTATATAATTTTTTTCGAAACTCTTCATTCATTAGTCATACTTTAAGTTTGTGTTATGAAATAAAAGATTTTTTTAAATTAAATTTTTTTTTTTTAATTATTTTTTATATTTTTAAAAATTCAAAAAAATTTTATAAATAATTTTTTTAAGAAAATTTTTTTTTTTAAATTTAAAATATTCTTTACACATGTAGTCCCTAAAAATAAAACAAAAATTAAATTATTGTAATGTAAATATTTTATTATTCAAATTATATTATTCAAAAATTAATCACCTAATTTATTATTATTCAATTTCTGCAATTTGTTTCAAAATTGAACATATTAATTTTATTTGTTTTGCCTCAGGTATCTGCAAAACGAATTATATTGAATTAATTTTTTTTTTCTAAAATAATATTTACAGTATAGTGTACTTACATCTTTCGCAATCATTGTCTTGACCATGTACTCTCCGAATTTTTTGATTCTTAATATTTTATCCTCTTTACTTCGTGAGCTTTCAATCGATATTGGCGCTAAGGAGTGGACTTGCCTCTTTTCATATTGTTGTGGGAGTTGTTCTGGCGTTTGTGGCACTGGAACAATCTGTGCCACTTTTGGTGAGGGAGTCTTACTTAAGTTTATTTTTCGTGGCATTTCAGGAGTATTTGGGTAATGGGGTCTTAAGCGGTATACAAATTTATAAAATTATTTAATTTGTTTTTAAAATTTTTCAATGTTTTTTGAGGCAAGAGTTCCTGTTACCACTTTTTCTCCAGCATTTTTTCTTGTTTTCTCTTACGCACAGCAAGCAAAAATATATATCTTCCATGAGGTCACCTTTCTTTTGCCCCACATACTTCCACATTAAGGATCTTTTGTTTTTTTTTATGTATAAATCACAAAACTGAAAGTAAATGTTAAATAAATTAAAATTTATAATTTAAGAAATACTTACATCACTTTCTTGGAGTTTACTCATTCTGAAAGAAATAAATGTACATAATTAGATGAGATTATATGAAGATAGGTGAAATGTGCTTTTTTGGAAAGCTGTATTAATATGCTAACAAATTTTTGAATAATTTTTACAATTTGAAAATTGTTGTTTCTTTTTAATAAAAAGTTGAAAAGAAAAATAAAAAGATCGCAAATTGGGAAAAATAACGGCATAATTTTCTGTATTATTTTGTTACAGAGAAGCTTTATATATTAATGAGTATGTATACTCGAGTGTATATTATGTTATTGTTTTTGCAAATGTGCGATTAGAGTTTGGTAAAGGAAAGAAAGAATTATGTATTGGCATGTATGTATGTATGTCGAAGCCAATAATTAATATGTGTATATTTATATGATTGATGTTATCAGTATGTATAATATGTATTATAATCACTCTATTTCTATAATGATCTACTCAATGATCTGTATAAAATAAGGAATATTGCGTGAATATAAATTTTATACTCATATAGGTATAAATTTTATACTCATACATTTCCGAGAGTATACACCTGTAGAGTATTAAATTTAAAGATGGAGAGTAATTAGAAATTCTTTTTTTTTTTATTTGTAAAATTTAATATTTTTAAAATGAAATTTTACTTTATTTTAATTAAAGTAATATTATTTAAATTATTACATACTTATTTTATAGATGTTTTTTCAAATGTTCCTGTTTTTTTTTTTAAAGCACAAAATTCACTGAATTACTTTTTTATATTTTTAATTTTTAACTTGTTTTAACTTATTAAGTTATTATTATTATTTTGAATTTTAATTTAAAAATTTTTAATTTAATTATTTTGAATAAAAAATTTTTTTTTTTAATTCACTAACTGAAAAATTTTTTTCAATTTTGTAACACAATTTGAAACTTTTTTAGCAAAGCTTTAAATGGTTGTTACCGACCGTATTGTGTAAACAATAGGTAGGTTATGTGATGGCAACAAATTTTGCATATCGAGTTTTCGGTGGGAACGTACTTCTCCATAGTAGGGAAGTGTAAATACACTATTTTCAGCAACCTGTCGGTCTGTGTGTGCACGCGTGTATTTCAAGTTCGGCTGAACCGATTTTGATGAAATTTTATATGTAAGTTTGTTTCCACCATGGCACGGATCGATCAACTTTTGGTATTATCAGGCCTCGGGAACTGCACTTTTTAGCGGGCCTGTTTTACATTTTTGAACATTTTGAAGAAAATATTCAACCGATTTACTTGAAATTTTATATATAAGCTCAGCTCGACCGTCCGCAAAAATTCGTATGTTTTGGAAGAAATCAGGCATCGGCAACTAGACGTTTACTGCGGGCCAAATATACATTTTTGTGTATATAAAGAGAAATAATCAACCGATTTCATTGAAATTTAATATATGAACTCCTCGTATTAAAACAATGAACATATAAATTTTTTGGAAAGATCAGGGCTCGAAAGCGGATTTGCGGGCCGATTTTACATTTTTCACCATTTTGAAGAAAGTATTCAACCGATTTACTTGAAATTTCACATATAAGCTTTGCTCGATCATACGCAAAAATTCCTAACTTTTGGAAGAAATCAGGCATCAGCAACTGGGCGTTTACTACAGGCCAAATATACATTTTTGTGTCCAAAATCCAAAAATTCTATAAATAATTTATTTAAGAAAATAATTTTTTTTTAAATTTAAAATATTCTTTACACATGTAGTCCCTAAAAATAAAACAAAAATTAAATTATTGTAATGTAAATATTTTATTATTCAAACTATATTATTCAAAAATTAATCACCTAATTTATTATTATTCAATTTCTGCAATTTGTTTCAAAATTGAACATTCTAATTTAATTTGTTTTGCCTCAGGTATCTGCAAAACAAATTATATTGAAATAAATTTTTCTTTCTAAAATAATATTTACATTATAGTGTACTTACATCTTTCGCAATCATTGTCTCCACCATGTATTCTCCGAATTTTTTTATTCTTAAAATTTTCTCCTCTTTGCTTCTTGAGTTTACTACTCTTTGAGCCGCTATTGTTTCTGAGGAGTGAACTTCTCTTTTTTTATGTTGAGGGAGTTGTTGTGGCGTTTGTGGCACTGCAACAATCTGTGCCACTTTTGGTGAGGGACTTAAATTTATATTTCGTGGCATTTCAGGAGTATGTGGGTAACGGGGTCTTAAGCGGTATACATATAAAATTATTTAATTTGTTTTTAAAATATTCAAAAAAATTGAGAACTTACGTAAGAGTCGAAGAATTAAGAAAGACATTGGCAAATTCGCCCAAATCTTCTTCCATTGTGTCCTTTAATGTGGTGCCATCAAGAATATTTACATTTATATTATGTGTTGTAAGTAAATGTTTCTTGAGGCAATAGTTCTTGCCACCACTTTTTTTCCACCCTTTCTTCCTGTTTTCTCTCACACAAGGCAAGCAAAAGTATGTA